AGTCGTATTCACTGTCGCCGCGGCAAAGCCACATGTCCTCACTGTAAGGAAGTGGGCCACATCTAGCTTGAGGTTAATACAAACTGTAACGGGGTACGTAGCACTAAGTGTACCCTGGTTACATGAAGTGTGACACTTCACACTTCAGGAGTATGACATGTCATACTCCGGGATATTTGGCACAAGGTACCAAGGTCATTCAAAACCAACCATTGGTTAAATGACATTGCATTTCTATAGGTAACTGATAGTTTGTATTAACCTCAAACTTAACCTACCTATAAATATACTCAGTTTACAATCTACCTTATTTAGGTCACTTCGCTCTCTTTAATTAAAGAGGGGACCAGTGAACTGCCGTTCACTGAGAGTTTGTATACTCTCGGAAGATAACTTCCTCTAGCGCAAGGTGCTGTGTGACCCCGTCACACTTGGTAGCACTTGTAGTCAATCCACGCCATCGCGGGTAGACTACCTGAACCTCCGAAGTTCGTTGCCATGGATAGGAACGACTTCTCCCATATGAACGACTCTCAGTTCGAGTCGGTTCGGAAGATGGCAGGCATCTTCGGGATGGAGGCCCTGCAGAGCCTGGTGGTATCAACACCGGCTGAGCAGCTCGAGCGCGTCAATGCATTCGACGCGTACGAGCAGGGCCTCATCGCGCATGTGCGGGAGAACCTGCAGGCTCCGGCGGCGGAAGCAAACCCGCCTCACCCGAAGCCAATACGGCTGAAGGTAAAGCCGTATGAAGGGAAGGAAGGCGAGAACCTTCACTTCTGGGTCCGAGAAGTAGAGCTCGCGATGGACGCGGCTCTGATCTCGACCGAGCAACTGCGTGTTGCTTTTGCACTCTCCAACCTTAGCGGTCGTGCTAAGAGTTGGGTGTACACTCGGGAAGCGACATCCCCTGGATGTTTCACATCCTGGGCTCAGCTGTGCGAACAGCTCCGAGCCGCGTTCCTCCCGGCGAACTACGAGTACCGCCAGCGTTCGCGCTTCCTCGCGTGTAAACAAGGAAGACGCGAACTGCACGAGTATGTGCAAGAGATACGGGAGCTCACGGCGTCCCTAGTGGGAAACCCACTCAATAAACACATCAAGATGACTGTGTTCATGGACGGCCTTCGAGTGGGCC